AACCTGCGCAACACTTTCCCACGAACGGCCTTTACCTTTACCTTGAGCCCGACACACCTTCCGAGTGGCTTCTTGTGTTGTGTCGCTTGTATATACGATTCGCAACTGGGTGGCCATTTTTGTTCTCTTTTAACATTGATTAATGGTTACATTCCCTTCTCGACACGAAAAATAATCAGGGGACATTAATTCTTCAATTAATCGAAATCTGAGTGTTTTTTTCTCTTAAAATTGAGTTAACTGTTTTTTAATTTTCATTGACTAAAATTAGCCACGGTTCATAACAACGAAATTAGGAATACCATTTTCTTTTGTTATTTATTATAATTTTCATTTCTTTCATTTTTCATAGTTTTTGTACAGGCTTTAAGTATGCAATTAACATTAATATTCGGTAGATATTATGATATATACTTATGGACAATCCAATATATTTTTTTTCGTTTATTCGGTGTATACTTTCAGGAAACTTGAATAAATTATTGACCAATAACCGATAGCATTTTTACCAAACAGAAAGTTGATGACATTTTGAATTTAAATTACATTGGCATTTTATTGAAATAAGTAATAAATTCTTGATTGATATGTTTGATAAGAAAGATTATCTCGTTGTGCAAGAAATTGATGACGAGTATTTTTAGACGGAAGCTGTAATGAGATTTAATTAAGGTTAACCAAATAATTTTTGAAGATTACTCAGAGTGGAACATTGGAAGGGGTACCATGGATGGTCAGAAGTGAGTAGAAAGTAACCAGTCAGGAATAAAGCGTTCACGTAGACCCGTTGCTGACCCGGTTCCCCAAATAATCTGACCAACGAAATCCTACTGGAATCATTATTGGAATCGATTGATCGTCATCCTACTGTATCCCTATTTGAATTAATTCTGAAAGTTATTTTTGTTTATTGACTTATTTTCTAGAGACTCGCAGCTTTAATAAACTATACAGTCGGAATGTTCTGTCTTCATACATTCCTACCAAGCATATAGAAGAAAATAATTTACTGATACTTTGAAAATGAAAATCCACATCACTTTTGTCAAATAGATGACATTGGATCAGTCTAGAAACGATGTTCAAAGAATATTAAAAATCTGTATAAATATTACAGATTAGCTACAATTGCTCTGATTGTTGAATGACATAGACATCATAAAGAAGAATGACAAAATAAAATATTAAGTAATTAATTAAATTGATTCCTGGAGTTATGAAATGTCTACAGTCGATTCTGGTATAAAAATGGTCTTACAGACTTACAAAGATATTGTCACTTGTTTCCACTTCATTGATTGCACATTTTCTTTCTAACGCATATAATCTTTACCACAGGAGATTATTAATTTCGTAAAAAAATATTCGTCAAAATCCTTGTATTTACGCGTGACAGGTTCCACTTAAAATGTCGGATTTTCACAACGGCCCAGGCAATTAATACGTGAAAGTTATTGTTTCACTAAATACAGGGAAAGTTTCTCTATGATTACCAACGCATTACGATCGAGTTGACGCGTTAATAGTGAACATATTGCATCCTGCCAGCGAAAACGCTGCGTAACAACACCAGGAGTCCCCGGTGTCGCGAAACACCTACGATCGTTTTGCTCTACATGTATTCCAATCATTCTTTCCTCGCGATATTACACGAGTATTGCCACAAATCTCGAAAATATGTAATTACCATCGGTTTCGATACCCCTTTCCCGATCGTGCCAATAATTGAACAGTCGACTGCAATTTCTTACTTTCGTCGGCGATCTGATCTATTTCTTTCTGTTTTCTTCGATCGATGGGATTTTCAGCAATGAAAACCGATGTTTTTGCACTTTCTAGTTTTGCACCGATGCGTTCGATCGACTTCACTGTTACTCTTCTCTGCTCGACGAGTCTGTCTCTCGTCGAGACACGATCTGTTGATGCGCATCATTTTGTGCAGGATTCTCTATTTAAACTCGACGTTTTACGAGAGACGCCCGTTATGTCCATAAACGCCGTGGATGAGTTTTAAAGAATTAGAAAAAGAGAAATTTTTGTTCAAGCGCGTTGCGCTTTCTTGAAGGTGATGTCTAGTGATGGGTAATCTAATTGTTCGAACGTGTTCGAACATTTAACGAAATAATCAAAATGTTCGACGAACAAACATTCGACGAAATGTTCAAAATGTTAAGAACGCATGTCGAAATGTTCGAAAGTGTTCGAACACCTGAAGAAATATCCAAACAGTTTGAACAGTGTTCGGTCGTTTTGAATAGTTCAAACCATTTTGACGTTCCAAACGTTTGAAATGTCAGAACCGTGTTTGAACTGTTTGAACATATTGTGTTTGAAAATGTGGAGCATGTTTTTGTCTGTTTATTCGTAGACCTATCACTAGTGATACTTATGGTTACGTCTAAGTTAATCGAACACGCGACGGTGAGTTTAATCCGACCGTTTCAATTTAAAACTCACAATCAGTCTCTGTCATTAGCGTATCTACACAAGCGTAATGAATTCGTAATATTAAACGCGATTAGACGTGTTGCAATACCTGTTAGTCTGTTACTTATTTACATAGTTATGTACATTTCTACCACTGTGTATTATTCAACCTATTAGATCGATTCGTAAATTTTAACACTTAAATTTTGTACTTATTGCTTCTTACATTTCTTTCTGTATTCGAACATTCCTCCTTTCTTTTTTGCATCATTTTGTTGCAATAACTCTATATTCTTGTAGTAAAGTCGGATTATTATGATTCTTATTTAACAGGATAATTATCAGAACATGTTAAATTTAGGTATAATGAAAATTAAAAAGATCTTTGATATCACCAAGAAAAGAAATGTTGGAAGAATGCACGAACTTTTGATTAATCTGATGTAACATGGACTCTGAATGGAAAAATACTGAATACTTAAATTTTTTTTATATAATTCATACGAAGTTTTCCGTGATATAAAAAGATATCACATCTGTAACATCACGATCTAACGTCACGGCTTGGTCGTCGCGAAGATAACCGTGAAATTATTGAAAATTACTTTTACTGTCGCACGAAGGAGCACGAAGCTCGCGAGTTCAAGATTTAACCTCATTCTACAACATTTCATATGCAGGATCGTATTTACAAAGAGATCTGCGTTTAAGTGAGAAAGTTGTAGCGGTCGCATCGAAGAAAGACTACGGCCATTAGTATCGCAAGAAAGAGAGACGAGAATTATTTCGCGTAAGTTCAGTAGTAATGCGATCGAGTGATAGGGTAGATTGATTGGTAAGATGGAGTGAGACAGTGCGGTCAGTCGAGATGAGTCAGGGTTCGATAGCACAGAATAATAAATAAATATGCTTTGATACAAGGCGTAAAATTATGGAAAAAAAGGCCCGAAAAGTTACCCAGAAAGAGTAGTAGATACTCTGGAAACCAGTTCCCAATAACGGATCGACAAAGAAAATAGAAAGAAGCGAAACAGAATTTTCTATTTCTGTTAGAAAAATTTCTCTATTGGAAACTGGTAGTTGAATATCGATAGAATATTTAAATAAACATTGTGTCAGTAAAGGTTTCTGTACAAGAGAAATTGATTCTGCTCGCCAATAGATTGACAAATTTACATTTTTGTAAATTTATTTAAAAAAAAAAATAGTAGACATAACGAAATTTCTATCCTTTATTGGAGGGGTTATTGGAATACAAAAAGCAGGGAAATTTAATGAGTTATAATTAAATTTCACAACACACATTTGTTAATGTGCATTAAATCCAAAGTCTGTTTATAAACCGAAACAAGCTGTACAATTTAGATTTGTGGCTGTACTATTGTTTTTAGGGAACAAAAGAATCCTTTCCTGACAGGATGTTACGCAAGGAATATTACACTTTGACATTCTTGTGTCAGTGATAGAACACAATTTCATAATTGGTTGGTGGCGCGTTGATATTTGCACATGAATATCGTGGTGTTAGCTATGCATTCGGTAACGCAGCTTCTAGTTTTGTACGTGTAATCCAAAGATCTGAACCGGGACAATGCTTCGAAAACCTAATTTAATTACCGAGATTGCGGTCTTTTGTGACAATTACGTGACCGGTGTAAAGCTTACACTTTCACCCATATGCGTAAACGCGTTACGAAACAACGCATCGATAAAGTATTAAAACGTACTAAAACACATAGTTTTGCGGAACGTACAATGTATTTTGATTATTGGGAAGATAATTTATTTAGCTAAATGTCATCTTACAATTAGATACAACTACAATTGCGTTTAGACAAATTGTTTGAGTCTTTTCTCATATGTTGATACGTTTTCAAAAAATATTCTGGACACACTGTATTTTTAAAGAATTCAAATATATATCTATATATTTCTAAGAAATCTAGAATTCTAATACATTTCTGTAATCATGGATTTACATGTTCATACATTAAAACACAACGAATCATGCAATGCAGCAGAGACTATTGAACCTTTCGTCACTTCTCATTTAATAAACCTATTAATAGATTAAATAAGTTTTCTTTAGGTTGCGTTTTTGTAGAACGATCTATGAACGTTTCAATTTACATAAATATCTACAGTCAATGCACTGGAAATAGAATTTCTCTAACACAAATGAGATATCAGAATGAACATGATATTACGCTTTTTCTTAACAAATCTAGTATGCCCAAGAAGAAAATTTAACAAGTAATATATACATTATTACACACTAACATACAAACCCTCGAGTTAAATAAATTTCAATTCCGCGAGTAACAGATTTATAAAATTTAAATAGCATAAAATTGATTAGTATTTAATTGGATTTGACACATCCAAGTACCATATGAACATATAAAATCCAGGTTCTACTTATGAGACATCGAATCTTCTCGAGAAATATGAGCACGTCTGAGGAAAGACCCAACACTTGAATGAAAATTGAATTCTACCGATTAATAAATGATAAATCTATGGAAGCTAGAAGCTGCGTTTCGTCGAAGAAAGGCCAAACAGTGGGTACATACCGACAACTACGAAAAGGAACAAGGTCGTGGCGATCTTCATACTGGTCGATCCAGTTTTGATTATCAGGTAGCTGCTTAGAAAGTTGATGATCCTGGAACGTTCTCCCTGTATGATGTTTCCTTTTCGTTGGGAATTCGTTCACGTCCAGAACGGAAACTTAACTCGGAATGTCTATCAGTACACCGGCGATCGGTAGACGTCACCTGCGGAAAACCGTCCTGACGAAGCCGCCTGGCGAACGTGATACTCGGACGATCGAGAGATAAAAAGGTGCGACAGGTTACTCGTTCCCGTGAACACTAATACTGCATGGATATGTTCTCCGAAGGCGAGCACGCGGGTCACTTTCAGACCCCATCTGGTTTCCAGGGACGGCTGAAACTTGGCTCCACTTTCAAGACCCCCTCCCCTCCCAATCTTCTCGGGCAAGTGTAGCGAACGTTTTATTAGTTTATATCGTACACACAACTGTTGTGTACGTTGCATTACGTCTATGCATATTACAATAAACAAATGCATATTTATGCATATTTTAATCAAACAGGATCTGTTACTGTAAGGTATGTGGGATTTTAAACGTTCATAAGTAACTGGCCCCTTAGACTTTGTTAACATATTGGTGGATATAAGTACAAATGAATGTGTAACTTATTCTAAAGAAGAATTTAAAATTTACAGATGTTACAGTGATAAAAAATGGAATATACCTTCATACGTATTTAAAGAATTTCATATGAGTGACGTTTCAGGTTTCGTTAATAAGTGAATCAATAGATAAACGAAAAGCAAAATGTAAGTACTGTAGAAATTGGCATGAATGTTATTGTGTAATGTAAATTACATTGATGTTATTTTTAATTTCTTCGTTTAGAACACGACTTTTGTTGTTCTGTTTTTAAGTGTAAGAAGATAGTATTGTATTTTCCTATTGGTACACACAATGAATTCGAAGTAAATATCAGTCTGATATCTATTTTAATAATACTCATTATTTTCCTACAATGTCCCACGATATTTTGACTGAACAAGAAATCAGAAAGGTATTCCAAATTTTAATTGTGTTACATTCTCACTGTAAACATAGTGAATTACTTATTGGTATTCATAATGAAAATATGTGTATTTAAAAAAATGTGTTTTGTAAGGTTCTTTGGTAAAGAACATGAGACGGTCCTGTTCGGCCCCTCCAAGCTTCAAGAAGAAACGGTCTGTTCACCGCACAGGTTCGATATGTGCACATCGAAGCGGGTATGAGTAAAATCCTGTGTCGAAGTGTCGGTGACCCACTCGGACGAAACGATAACGGGATCGTCGTGCGTTCATTCAGAGTCCAGCGAATTGATCGGGGCCCGTAAGGAGGATCGACTAGTTTTTTTCAAGTAGGTCTGTAAAAGATACGATTAACAACACGATTTGTCGACCGGATTCTTCTATTCCGATTTATACACTTTGAAAGTGTCCATAGGGCTGTTAGAAATAAGATAACAAATTCTGAACATTTGGGTATAAATAAACTGTGATTGTTTATGCCAATTAATATTTTTATGCATCAGTGAAACAAAAAGAGGATTTATTAGGTACCTTTTTCGTCCAATAATGTTATAAACATTGTTAGAAGTCTTATTGTATTCTGTTTTCAATATTTATACATGCTATAAATTTTTTTATTTCGACATGTAGTTGTAGTCAATCACTATGAGTTTTGAATTATAAACATCGATTTAAACCATTTTGCTTAAGTCTCTAAATTGGCCAACTTTAAATAAATTGTATTTCTATTATTTTTATTGGGCGTAATGTATGCTATGGAACACGACCAAATGTTGAAATAGAATAATTCGCGAAGTATTCTAAAATAGTACTTCGATGTGACTAAAAAATTTACTTTAAATGTCCTCACAAATCGCGAGTTTTCTATTTCTGGGATAAAATGTTTATAGATATAATTGTTACCAACAGCTCGAGTTTTGAACGTAAATCGAGTGACGTAACAGTGCATTCCGCTGCACCAATTTTATAGTGAAATCGTGCCTTTTACTTTACAAAAGTACGGCACATAAACTGATTATTCGGTTCTTGATTTCTTCAAAATATGAAGAACATTTTATATTAATTGAATGTCAAAGAGCATAGCCACTTTCATTTAAACAGAAGATTTAGTCTGATTCAAGATGGTACTATTACATATGCACTTGACCATGCAGAAGCCATGAGTAGGTCAAGGTTTAATACTACATTTCTATGTGTACCTATACCGAATTCTTATTCTTCTCTATTTCGTTAAGTAATATTACGATATAAATTGTAAACTTCGATAACCAAATTTATTTTATGTGTGTTTCAGATTACAAACATTGATCTCCAATTTTTGTGACAATACAAAAAAGTAATGCTGTTTTCGAAAAGTCGACACTTAAAGAATCCTACTCTTGTAGTGATTCATACTTTCCTTTCACTAAAAGCTTATTGGTACGATACATACAGAAAACAAAGCAGTGCATATTATATTAAGGAGTCAGAAATAAATAGATTTATTCATATCATTCATATTCTCTTAGCCTAAATTCTACTCACGATACTTTCTCAGATACTGTAACAAATCATATTTAGAGACAGGTTATAAAGTATTTTCAGTATACGAAAATTTGTATTCATTTAAGAATGTTGAGAGATAAATGAACCAGATTATACTTTAAGAAATAACGTCGAATACGGTAAACGCGATGTATTTTGTCTATACTAACGTTTCTGAAGACAAAATTTACATCGTTTTATTTGATATTACATGTGTTGCGAAAGATCGTGAAATAAAAAAAGGTCTAGCTTGAATTTAATACACAAAGTTTTCGTTAGAACGTCATTTGTTTGTGAAACAATTGAAATTTTAAATAAAAAATCGTTTTATTAGTCTCCTTCTTCTATTTTGAGTTCTTCTCGTGCATTCTGTCTATGGTTTCTTGCTGTTCATGCAAATCTGCCTTTTTTCGTCCATTACATCCATTAGTTTCTTCCTTTATGTTAAAATATTTTATACAGGTTATGCGACATCCGCATCGCTATTTATTTAAGAAATCACTTAGAATCTCCTTTTTACTTACCAATTTTATACAAAAGTTGCATGACTACTTTCACATTTTCATTTTCTTAAACTAGTTTCCTTAGAAAGTGTTGGTGCCATCTTTGAGACCTGAAAATTTACATAAACATAGTAAAGTTTGTCATACAAAATTAATTTAGAAAATTCTATTACTCTTTTGGCATTCTATTTTCTATATACCTTTACAAGCTACTACTTATGGTGAACAATAATTCATTTTCTCAGCATCTTTACAATTGGAGTTTCATGCAACTACTGTAAGTTCTTTATTCTCTTTAATATGTATTTCCACAAATAATCATAGTAATTTACTATATATTTATATAAGAAACTTATATATCTACAATTAACTTTTGTGTTCTTCATGCTTTTTCAGATGTCACTTACTCAAATACATTCAATAAAATATAGACATAATTAAATTGAAGACATGTTTAACTGTTTGTAATAATATCTCTTTATGCCCTATATCCTTTTCATGTCCCCTTACAATCTGTCCATTCAATCTTTTCTCCTTGCGGTAGATAGAAGTTTGCTGACTACGTAGTCAAATATTTCTTCCTTTGCAAAATCATGATACTTTTATACAATATCATTATGAATTTAATTATTTATTGCTCCCATATATCGATGTAATTTTTAAAGATTATTTATTGTACAGTATATGTTATGTTTTGAATTTTTTTAATACTTTCACATCTATAAATGTCTTATCCTTCTCCCAGTCGATCAACCAGTTTCACCTGAAATACAAATTTAAAGTTAGTTGAAGTTTACAACATAATCGTAGGCTACGTATATTTCTATATATTCTATATCGTAAAGCGGTGGTTGATAGGTTTGTAAAAAATGAAGTTTGAAATAATAATATTGATATAAAAAGTTAGGTTAGGTTCGACATCGAGGTTAGGTCCAAGTTAGATAGGTTAAGTATTGAAGTTAGGTCTATATAGGTTAGGTTTGTAGATCGAAAATTAAGTCTATTAACGATACGCACCTTTTTTTCTATTTCAATTCTATCCATTTTGCTTTTTACTTTTTTGATGAACACTTCTCTCATTATTATAGTATTTATAAAACAAAATGATTCCAGAAATTTTCGAATTATAGTAATAACGAAGAACCACCATGAGAAACCGCCATTGAAAGGAAATGTAAAAGAAACATGAAAGAAAATAATATCTCACGATAAAATTTTCACATACGCATGTAATTTAATTTATCTCAATTCTAAATCAATTAAAAATTCTTTTATATATTAAACATACATTTTGAGCCAGTAATCGAATCTGTCTATATTTCAAGAAGCAATTAAATATGTATTTATATATGAAATAAATATGTTTATTTATTATGCTCTTCAATCTTAATCTTAACAACAATGAACGATAAAAAAAGAAGTCAAAGAAACTTCGGATGAATAATTCAGATTAGACTGATTCGATCCACAATCAACACAAAAAATATATTCCCCTTTACGATTCCTGCAATAAAGTGAAATTTTTTTTGAAAAAATATTGTATACGATAAAAATAAGTTTGCGTTTTCTTGCGTGTATGACGTGTCAAGGAACGTGAATGAAGTTAAGTATAAATATGTCATATGATTCGTTCTGATTATAAAGTACACACATAAATGGATCAACGAGGGTTTTATTTTTATCACACTGAATTTTTATTCGGCGTCGGAAATGTTTTCTTACGACATCGAATATTCTAATCAGATTTGAAGAAGTTCGTGACAAAGCAGTATTAATTTTTTACTGAAGTAAGGAGAAAATCATTGTTTTTTCTTGGAAGATATTAATTCGAGTCGATTATGGTAAAAGATAATACATACATACAAAAATACTTGGACAAATAAAATCTAAAAATATAATATTACAATGAAAAGAATTTATGGAATTAAGTTTCTAAATAGAACATCTTCCTTTTTGAAATATCCTTTTTATAGTATTTTATTCAAATGAAAGTTGTGTAAAATGTCACGAACGTAAGTCGTTTCTTTCTGAGTAAATAGACCAATTAAAAAACAAAACAAGATAAGAATAATTGGTGTTTAATTGGTTCCTCGTATTAGACAACAGAACGTACGTTTATCGCAATGTAAAATCATAACTCTAAAACATTTACTTGACACGTAATTATTCAAGCCTCTTATTTTAACCGTGTCCATTAAGCCACCATATCGATTTGAAAGTTCAAAGGTCACTGTTATTAAGCCTTCTTCACACTTAATTTACGAACATTTTCTGTTTTTGAAAGTTACTATTTTATTTCTTCTTATTTTCATTATAACATGCTGATTGTTTGATATAAATTGAAGTTTGACCAGTTTTCATGCCAATATATTTATTTTAAAATCTCAGATATTAGATATAAGTATCTTTCAATATGAATTATCAAGTCTATTAGTGATTGAGAATGTGCAACAAATTAATGTTAATTTTATACAGTCTTTAAGCGACGTAACTTTAAATAAGGAAAATCGAAGTTACATATCTATGTATGTAACTTAATCCTTAATGTAATATTTTAGATAAAATTACATTTAAAGTTTCCAGACTTCAATGAACAATAACTTTAACAACGTTTCACGCCTGTTTAATAGTCACGTTTCGCCTGTCGTTTTTAACGGTAATTAAGTAACGAATAAAAGCTTCAAACGTTACCGTATTCAATTCACAGCACGTTTTGCAGGTACCCATCATCGTTATGCGAAAATGGCGGCCATCGAGCTCGCTTCATTTAAATGAATTTCCTCATTAATTTCCGCATTACCCATTGTATGTTTATAGCCCACCATCTATAGAGGGAACCTTAGTTATAAGCACCGCATTCTTCTATCGTATGAATGCAGATAACTCGCGTTCTGCATTCGCAAAAGATGATCTCCGATGATCAATGCACTTTAAAAATAGCAGCTAACGATTCCTGATGTATAATTCCGAACTCTTCATCAATATCCCCGCCAATACAATCGTCGAAATTACGGGAAATGCTCGTCGTGTCGCAGCTGGACTCCTACAAGCGTAATTATCCCGTCAATTGATTCGACGAGTTCCGGTGAACCGTTGAAAAAATATCAGAAAGACTATTAGCACTTACGTTTCGACAGTAAATTATAATCGCTCCTCGAATTGATCTTTGTCCTCTTCCTCGACCCATCCACCCAGTTCCACTTCGACCTGTAATAATATTTCATTTGCTCGACTTTGATTTAATGTCATAAGAACTTCCATTTCATCTTGCACGAATATGTGGTTTTCCGAGGTGTTATTTGCATTAGCAGGCGCCAAGTTGCCTTCTCGAGACCAACGAAATTGCACATCGTACGTGATCATTTTGAAAATGAGTCTGTAACGTCAATCGTATAAATAATGTGTCGTCTATCTATAATAATTTCAAGAACAAAGAAGGACGTTGCAATCGCAACGTTGATTGGTTTTCGTGGATATTATCAGATCAATCTATTATTTTACTGTACATAGAGATCCATGGCTTAATCTGTAACTTCTATAATTTTCGAAAAAAACAATAATTATTTTGGGAAGTTGAAACTTATTAGATAAAGTCATATAACATCGAGTGAGACTTGAAATCGATCTTGAACAATCCACTCCTGTGCGTTTAATGATTTCGCGTGCTCGATTTAATGGCTGTAATTGCTTTGCATAATACTCGAGCCAGTTTCTAAGAGGCCGCGATTGCAATTCGCGGCTGTTGGCGGTCTCGATTGATAGGGCGAGAAGAAGAAGCTTCTCGTTAATGGTTATAACACTACCTCCTCTGTTCGACATTTCATTAATTCTTAGTACTGGGGAAGCCTGTGCGCATCCATCATTAAAACGCGAAAAATTCGTTAAGAAACCTTTTTCATAGAAGTAAATGAAAGTCCACATAATTATACTGACATAAATGGCCAAATTTTCTTCAGTTAACTATCACGTTGTAACGTTACAAAAATTAATGTGTTTATTGTTCTGTATGAAATAATGAACTAAGAAGTTGATTGTTGGTGTATACGCTCGATGGTATTATTTATCTTAGTTTAAGTTTGGTGTGTGGTACCCACGTAGTAAATTGGATAAAAAAGACATCAATTATTGGTCGTCTCCCAGGCATAAAATGGTTCATTCAACTCGAGACAATTCAATGAACACGTGGTGACCTCTATGCAGTGGCATAAATTGCATACGACCTGCTTTCTATCAATATTTTTTTCTTCCTTTCGACGCTTTTCTCCGATTTCGTCTATAACGATATTCAAATGATACGGATTGCGATAATTATAACAATTTAACACTCCAGTATCAACAGAATTGAAAGGAAACAGAAAACTGTCACGTAAATACAATACGAATCTTTCTATAAGTGTCAAGATAGATGCTTGTAGAAATACATCTTTCATTTAGTTAAAGGAATTGTAAATAGACTGTGGATTTTATTTATGTATGACATAAACAATGTATTAAACAGACTCAAATAAAAGCTATAACAGGGATAAACAAAGATTTGATTTCACTTTCAATTGAATAAATTCTTTAATTGACGATTTAAATTTTCCACGATTCCAGTTATTTAAAATGTTTATTTATCCGTTATAACAAGTCTGTCAAACGTTAAATAGTTCAAAGATATCAGGAGATTTAAAAATTTATTTGTTTTACGGGATGAAGTAATGATATTAAGAAATAGAACGAATTAATAAAAAAGTCAATATGTAAAATTAAAGTTTGATGATAACCGCTGCTTATCGCGACACCACTTTCTCTGGATTCATTCCAAATCTTGACTAATCTGTGCAACGTTTGTCGCCATTTGTGGGCAGAATCCCTGCTCTGTGTGTCCTGCATCCTTGAAGAGGATCGTGGTTTACTCAACACACGCAGCGAGCCTTTATCGTGTCGTGCCTGAAATTATTTATCAATGCGAATGGCGAATGTGCCGCCTTGTATACGAAAAGTATATGTACGATGCATTATTTATCACTATCTGCATACCGACGAAATCCTGCCGCATTTAACGTTAAGCTCGCGTTCACCAATTATTTTTTATCTTACGACTATATCCGGCAAATCTGTAAATTATTTACTATGCTAAATAATACTTTCCTAATTTATACTATTATTATTAGTACCAGCATTTGTGTATCATAACACTACGTTTATTACATCTCTAAGAGAATTTGTTTTAAGTGGAAATTTAAAAAAAAAGGAACATACTAATTTTTTCTTTAAATTAAGGACTCCAATGTGATTTAATTATTTATTTATTACTTTAAATTAGATGTGGTTTAATGTGATTTAATAATTTAAATTGAAGTGGAATGTAGATGTTTCTTTGTACACTATTTGCACACTGCATTCTTTTATTGAAAGAGAATATTATTATACATAATTAGCATTAGTGTGCATAGGATGAATGGGTAAAATCTTACTGTACAAGAAAATGTAAAAAAAAAGTCCCGTCAACCTCAAGATTTAAAAAAAACATACATATGTATATATAAAAGAATATTTCAATTACTATAATAATTTCAATACAATTTTATACTTAAGTACATGAATTTAATGCAAGCTTGTCTACTTTTCACTATCGATAGAAAAAAACTTTTCATCGGCGAATGATAACGTAAATTGTTTTCTAAATTCTCAGTTCCGATCAAAATGATCCTTTGAGAAGTTCTTTCCCATGGATTGTCTCGGAAGGATGGCGCCAAAGGGGCGCCGACTTCAAAATTCCAGCGCAGGCGCATCGCCGGGTGGATCCGTGCGATTGTAAACAAAACTGAAGGCGACCGCGTGGCTTGGATCAGTGAGGCAACGACTCTCGCGGTCGAAGGAGTCAGCGTAGGTGTACTCCACCTTGTTTCGTATCTTCCGGCTCGATCGGACGTATCGCAAGTTCGCAAGCGTTAATTCTCCGACGATAATTATCCAACGAGAAGAACGTGTCGTATTGTCGACAAGGAATGGCGATTCCGATCGGGGGACAGTGACCGAGGCACGAAGGGAATTTCGGGGGTAGAATTTCGTCGGCAGTCGATCAATTTCGTCCGTTAAAATTCTGGAGTAAATAAAATATCATTGAAAAATAATTAAAAAAAAAAAAAATCAAATAAACTATTATTTCCTTGAGTGTCCTAAGAGAGACAAACTAGAGAGATTTCGAGAGTGTAGTTCAGGCGCCACGATTCTTCATTGAGAGAATATCTTTGAAACGTTACTTGATAACTGGAGGATTCTGCAAGAAGAAGATTATTTTCCCCGTTACTGGCTGCACAAACCGTCGTAACCGACTCCATATTTCGATCGATAGGACACAACTGGTATTTAGGATTCGTTGTACCGGCTGTTTCCTTGCTGCACATGCAGCCTGGCTTGAATAAGGGCCCGGGGACTGCAGGTAGCCTTTACAGAAGGGTCCAGCCCCCAGCGTTGTCACGTCTCTCGAGAAAGTCGACCGAGTGTAACAGACGCCTGTAAACAGCGCAACACCGCTCACAAAATTGAAGGGAGCGATAATCGAGTAACCAAAGGTACATGATAACAGCAGGACGATTGCAGTCATTGGAAATCGTTTGCTATCGGGACACATCATGGGACCAATAACAATGCTCTAATAAGAGAATCAGTGGCCGTTCTGTTTAACGGTATTTACATAAGAGAGAGAGAGACAACAGATAGACGGGGTTTCGAGAGGGAATTTACAATTGCTTAAGATGAACGATACGGAGCGAGGTTGAACGAACCTTATAAATAATGAGGTCTCTGAATCGTTGCATTGACGATCACGTTTTCTAGACATCAGCGAGTGCGTCTGTTATCGTCGAGGGATTAAAAAGTTTCGTAGATAGAGAATAGGCGAATAGGATCGATCGATCTATCGCTGTCGTTTTCTCTCTGGTTGTTACGAGATTCCTCGAAAATGTCGCTCACCTCAACGGAGGATTGGAACGAAACCTTGTCGATGTTGGGCTTGAACTCGACCATGGCGTCTAATGTTGTTTTGAACCCAACCAAGAGGCACGTGACTATCGCTTCTCAGATGGTGCTCACCCTTGTATACTTTACCGGTGTAATTGGCAACGTGTCGGCTCTAGTCATACTTTTCCATCGTGATAAGGTAATTTGCTTCCCTCCGGAAGGTTCAATGGGTATTAAGTTAATTTGTTGATCTTGAGGGCTGTTTGAGTGTCAGTAAAGTCTAGGAGACATTTTTAGTGGAATTTTATGATTATCGCTGAATTATGTAGAGGAAGAAACGCTGTTGGTGTAGAAAGTTGACGAAGTGGAAAATATGAACTGAAAATGCTTGAAAGAAAAATTGTCTGAAGCTATTGACTGTAGACTATAAACGTTTATGAAAGTTCACATAAAATTAGTATACTAAAGCAGATATCTGCTATCACAATTGTATTTCATTAAAGTAAAAGTACTAACATTTTGTATGTTGAATTTTTTTTATGAACTTTGAGAATAAAGATAGTTCGAGATTAGTAAAACTTCCTGCTAGAGAAATGCAACATTGAAGTGCAGAAATGAAAAGGCACTTGTTTTGATCAACGCTGCACGTATGTGCACACTGACAAACACTACAGTTCCCGCACACTAAAATACTACCATTCAATTGTGAATAAAACTGACGTCTACTTTATACCTGCATACACCACATAAGAGCTATCTTTCAGAAACAAAATCATAAAAATATTGAATTTTCATTATACACTGCTCGCAAAAATTAGAGGATTGCTAATTTGGCGGCTCCATTGCACTCAAGAAACAAAACAATTGCTATGGGTTTGCTAAATAAATATCTTTTTCCGTACAATACTAACACTATTGACACCTAGTTATATTTATATAAAAAGCTTTTCGGAGATTATACGTGAATACAATACATGATTCTCTAATTGTTCTGAGTAATTGTAACAATCACATAAAATAGAGTTTATATCTTTATAATATGTTAATGAAGGTAAAATGTGTGTGTGTGACAGAAAAATATAATGGAAATGTCCGAGACAATTTTTTATACGCACCTGTGCATATGTGACATAAATGTGTCGTTTTTATTTTATGTTCAGAGGAGAAATCGAAAGCATTTGCTGATGCTGCGATGTTTAGCAACGAACGATCTCGTTGCGCTATTGGGGATGCTGGTACAGATGTACATCACGATTTACGTGGGCAGCGTTATGTCCACAAGGGGGTTTTGCTCCCTTCGTGTCGTTTGGAGGCTATTCGGTTTGTTCAGCGGCTGCGTGGCGATCGTAATGGCTGCTGAGAGGTGGCTGGCCTTGACTAGACCCTTCGTCTATCAGAAGGTAAGTCAAGATCCTTGATAACATCGTTTAAAGGATTTGGAGGGCATAGTAGGCATGTATTTACCACTTTCTCCATATCGTATTCACATATAATGTCTATTATTGTGTAACGTACAATGACGAACTAAAGTATTCGATTGATTGGATTCTATACCTACATACATTGTTATATTAACTTGAATGTAGTTTTTGTACTTACTCCTTTATATCTTCTTAAATTTCGACGTGATTAATACAATATATCTGCTACATGTATGAACCAGTTTCTATAGCCCAACATAATATTTGTGAAATTCTTATGGTATTTAACAAGCATTTAACTATATTGTTGTTGGGCACTTGAGAATTTTTGTGTTGATCACATTTATGAAGAAACATTATTATTATGATTAAACATTATATTTATGACGAGTGTTTAGAAGCAATGCAATGAGAATATTAATAAGAATCAGTAAGGGGTTGTGTAAAACCCTCAACAGAAGAAGCATATGTTTATATAATTCCAGTTTTTTACTTAGTCTATAGAAATATGAAATTGCATAAGTATCTGCAGTCTACTTATCACAAATCACATCTGCTGATTGGGCAGTTATAAACCTGCAACAGTTAGTTTCGTTAAAAAATATCATATTCAATTGCGTTAAGTCATAAATTACTTTTCGCTAAGAGAACTAAATACACGCGAATGACGTTTGTAGCTTAAAGTTTTTGGAGCTCTATGAATTTTTTCAAAAATTTCCCCACAGTTTATTAATGGTTGTATTCACTGAAAAAATTTAAATAAAAAAGTTAGAAAATCGATCGAAGATAAATGTTTCTCGAGAAATTTCTTAGCCTTGTATCGCGATTAATTGACGTCTTTTGTTTGGATGAGTTGCGAATGTTCAAAATGATATACCGCCAGTAGTATCATAAAAAGCAACAGAAGATTTCTTATATTACGTATTTTGATTGTAAAAATATGTTCATAAAGATAAATCGAAGAGCAAGAAGACGCTTTCTCGACCGAACAATCTTCATGGGTATTATCTATACGCGATAAGGGTCACGTTACGTAGGTCGCACTTTACGTATGGACCTGACCCATTTTTTAACTGACGACAGTGACTTGGATTGGTGTGAACATCAATGAAAGCGACAATACCAGTTTGCTCCCTATTGACATTGGTGCACGCGTCTTGAGCTAGCTAAGGAGAATGTTTACGTACGCCTAGCAGTGATCGTAAAGTCAAACAATTTTAAATATAAACTGGTATAAAATATTAATGGTAGCTAACAGAATTTTCTTTCACATTCAAAACAGATGTTAATTCCTTACTGATGAAGCAGAGAGTGAATAAATATTATTGTTCATATTTTCTTATCATTACCAAATTTCTGTTTACGTAAGATGTCATTGTGGGGTATCTCAAAGTGACTGAAGAATCACTTAGTCCAAAACATTAATGCAGTCTGTAAGGCCTATTTCGAGTAAGGTTTTTTACACGCACTCCCACCTATCCATTTGATATCTCCGACGAATAATGTAACGAAGATACAACTTGATGGAAAATTAAATAATACATTGCTGATAAATGTAAATTTTGATTTTGATATACCAGAGGAGATCAAAATACAGGCTAGGGTCTAAATATGGGGTAGTTTAAAATATAGGGTCATGTTAGGTTCTTCATCCTAGCGGGAATACTGTGAAATATACTACGACTGAATAACAAAAGAACTTTATTTTAACCCCATATCATAAAGCAAACACGTTTTAGATACATCAAAATGTTTCGTCTTCAAAATCTTCAACAAGTTTGGCAATAAGTCCTGCAGTAAAAGTGTTAGCTCATATTTAAACCACCTCCTAACATTTTAATTCACTAATTATTGGTTATGTTATATTCAAAGTAGAATAAAAGTTTTATTAATCTGTATTACAGTTAACAGTTAAACTTAATGAATGTTCAGTTAAAATTCTGAACATATAAAGTAATCTCTTCCTCAATCTATGATTAAGGGTTAATTAGATAACTTATCTATGTTTTCCTTAAATTTCACATTTTTCTCCCTTCATGTAACCGAAAACACTGAATATGAAACTGAAGATTCAGTTATTAAGAGTGTACATATCAACAAGCTACTTCTTTGTCACCGTATCATTAAATTGAACGACTTTTATTTTTCTTAACGCGATACAAAAATTGAAGTGGCATTTAAAATATCGGTTTACTCATAGATAATGGCATCGTTAGTTTTCTACAGCGTAGTATACCGATCGTTTACGATACCCATAGTTTCGCTGTCGGAATAAATGATCAAAGAGCATTGACATTCTCGCATTGACATTCTTCGGATTCCGCAGGTGTTGTTCCTACAATATCTGATGGACAACGCGCGAATATTAATTCCACGATGGAATCGGTAATGCGTTTGTATCAATTTGCGTCCTTTTAAGACGCGGCGGAAATAATAATTTAAACCGAGCCCGAAACAGTTCAACCGATTGTCGAAACTGTTCACTTCCGGTCCGTCTTTTGATCGATTACGGTACTTGGATGAGCGAAACAAAATAAATACAATATTGAAAATTATTCATTACATTCTAAGATTTTAAATATAGGCTTTAGCTGCAAAGAATACTGGTCAAAATAGGCAAAAAATCGTTAGGTTATATCCAGGTATTTGGCAAAAAAACTTAGAAGAATCTAATGCGCTGTGTACCTATGTACAGTGAACATTTTTTTTTAAATACAAAAAGTATTTGAAATACACAAGTACTTGAAGTGACTCAACTTGAAGTAATGCAACTGAGGAATTTTTATTTAATGTTCTAGTGTTTAACACAATTGTTCGAATATTCAATATTCTCAGAGGAAAAATTTGTTCATGATTTCTTAATATTTCGAAAAATATGGGATTTAATTACTATTTATAAATATGGAATTTTAAAATATGGTAATAATAATCTGTGGTCTGAAATATTCTTGAAACTAAACAATTTTTTAATCATGCGAATAATGTATAAATACCAGAAAGTAGAAAATTTGTAAATCAGACATATGGACTACACGACACTCTAAATTTCCTGTCACTGCTTCAAGAAAGGAAATGTTAAGTGTTCACGAACTCGAATCGCATTGCCTTTAGAATGACAGAATAACGTCTGTCGTTTATATTTAGGTCTTTGTTACACGTTTTCTCCAGACACTCGTGTTCTAGCGCGATCAAAGTTTTCGAATTCTCCGAATTCTTATCATTATGCCATATTATTGTCATTCGATTAATTCTTATTTCATATTAATAAATAACCAATCTCGCGAAAGACGTTAAAAGTGTAAAGACACTTAATATAAAGAAATAATGACGATAATATTACAAAATCAGACAAAACTTTCATTTGTAATTGCTCTTAATTGTTACCAAACTGGCTGAGATTAGTGAAAAAGGAAACTGAACTAACGCATAGAATTACATAAATATTTATTTAGACTGATTGTGTAATGGACATAGGTATGTACGCACTTTTTGGATGAATTCGGGGAATAATGATTACAGCAAGCCATAGGTCAGCGAAAGATGTGCGTGTACCATCGCGATAATGATAACTGGTGATAGCTTCCAGAGGTCCGAAACTATTTCTGGGAAAAAAGACAAGCTACGTGATCGTGAACATCGCGCCTAATTATTTCGAATTCTGACACGCGATGAAAATGTTAGAGTTTAGAGGCTTGTGTGCTTGCTTTCCTTCTTGTTTGGTTTAGGAACAAAGGCCACTGGCATGACTAACACTGATACTGATTGCCATAGAACCCATCGCAGTGTTGGGTAAAACTTGTGGCCTATATTGTGACCCATATATGGCGACGAGTTACATCTACACTATACTCAATCCTATACGTCAAATTGTATCAAACGTTGAACAAATTTGTTTCATTTAATTCCTTAAGTTCAGTGGTTCTTAGTTTTTACAATGAGAGACGTAATTTAATTACAGTGATTTAAAGGAGTCTTGAATAAAATATCTCTGTTAAGGGTTGTATTATGTCCAAAGTAAAATGAAAATTATAATAAATAATTAGACTTTCTAAGATATTTGTTCTTTTCCGTGTCTTTAAATTAGGTTCTCTTTTTGGTTCGTGGTACATATACGACCTTCGCCCAAATCACTAGTGTTATAATTCTGTTCTCTACAATTTCTTTTAATTCTATAAACTGTAATATCTGTTATTCTGTAAAAATAACTGATGAAATTCTACGTGTTGAACAGTTACTTTAATATATTCAAACGGCCATTTATTTCCAAACAAGCTAGTATAAATCTACATAAGATTCGCAGTTGGTTAAATACACTTTTTGTTTCATATCATGTATATTTCTGACCTCATATTTTATTATCCTTTGAAATTAATGACATTATGAATTTGATAAAATTGAAAAGAATCTGAAAGTAATCTGAACTCTACAGTAATGGTACTATAAATTTGCAAACAAAGAATAATCGGTTGCAATTTATTATGTTAGTCGCAATAAAATGTCCTTTTAGAGCAAATAATGGTTTTGCTCTTCAGTTTCGACGCGTCAAACAGGTATCTCAACTTTAATAGACAGAGAGACAAGGTCACCGAAATTGAAGTGGTCCTTCTTTAACAGATGTGAATGAAGCTACATATGCCGAAGGATTTTGCTTTTTCTTATGTTACGTGTAACCTCGCACGTACATTGGTTTCATTAAACTCCAAACCGCATACCTACGACACGCGATTTAACAATTTCGTCTGTCAACCAATAGTATTCGCTGTGTAGTTCTCTTACTACAACAGATTGTTTACTCAATAGTTATACTAATCAACCCCTTCACAAATATGCATTTTATTCGTATAAATTAATAATGAATATAAATATACCTGTGCAGCTGGGAATAGTATTACATTTTTTTTTCTATCATCTCACACTGAAATTAATGACACATCTGGTATGAATTAAAAATTAATATTTATACTGAAATGTCCAGTGACAAAAATTTGATTGAATTTCTGCAGGTCCTAGAAGATTAAAAAATGAGGACTCATATCAAAATGTTTTTTTTTAAATATAGGGGTTGGCCTGATAGTTACAGCGTTAAAAAGAGGTTTTACTATACAAATAATTATTTCGCATCTTTGAATAAAGTCATCAGTCATGTTCTATTGAAATAATTCCATCTTCTCCTCAGTTTGCACTAAACATTATTATAATTTCCAAAGATACAGTAAGTTAAGATGAATCACACGCTTAAATAAAAAAGAATTCAAGTGATGATGTTTTCCATAAAACTGATAAGCTAGAAATCCTTCAAGCCTTTCTTTGCACGGGTCGCTCTACTTTATCATGCACACGTGCTTCCGTTTTGAAGAATTAACCCGGAAACTAGGTCACGATCAAGCGATTCAAAGTAAATTGGAAAGCGAAAGGTCTATGAAAATCCGAGCTTCTTGTTAGCCTGTCCCCGGGGGACGTTTCGAATCACCGCAACCGCTATAAATTTGCAACACGATAGAATTTACCTTTAACGAACGCAAAAGATAACCCAGAGATATAATGCAGAACGAAACGAACCACGTAGGCGCGAACTATGGATCAACAGAGCATTCCAATTTCTCCCAATCCCGATGACACTTTAATAGTATGCTTAATCATGAAACACTGACACATGGCCAAAGTAAACTAGATCATCGACTCTGCATTGTGAAATTATCTCCACAGTGATTTTATATAGTGCACAGAGTCTTGTGTGTACACAGAAGATGCTGGACAGCTTCTGCCTCGTTCGGGACGCGAGGGCGCGAAACGAGTGTATTCAAATCGGCGACGAGTGATTCATAATGCGAGAATGCACTTTCCTGAGGGTACCAGAATCGATATTTCATATTTCATTGATATTGCCGAAAGTTCACTGTTGAACATCGAGTGAAAAATGTTCTGTCGATGATCGTTCGATGAAATGAGGTTACATAAGATAAGTAAAGATTCGAAGTTCGTTGTCTGCTTCGTGAAATCAGTTCTGGAAGTTTTTACTCGTTTTCTATTTTGGTATCCTTATTGGATTAGTCGATGAATACAGTCACCGAACTTTTTATGCAGCGACGAAGAGAACATTTCACTTTTTGGCGGCCTATACTGCGAGGATTATTGCTCTAAGAGCTTTAACACTAGAACTATTGATGTAGGTAGACGATTCCAATCATTTGGAAGACGAGATATTATACTGTTCTTTTTCTACAACTACTATTTCTTACTCCAGTCATAATAAATTAGTTGTTAGAAATGGATATTAGTATAAAGATTTTTCATCAAGTAATCAAACTAGTATTTTACATTCTAATATACATACATTACAGATTAAACGGAATCTCTTGTATCTCTAATGTTTTCAACTTCTAACAATGTTTTCTTTGATAAGAAGAGCTATGGCGCGAACTAGCGAGTTAATGGCTCTCGAGGCGTTCAGTGACGTTCCCCCCAAAATGTATGAGGGGCAACGTGTCAGTGCAAGATTGACTGCGTAAATTCAGGACGATGTTTTATAAGGTTAAGCCGACCTACGTTCCTCATAGTATCCGTAATGATGGGGTTAACCCACTAAAGAAAAACATACGAAATTTTCAACGAAGTGTTTGTTTCTTTTCTGATTACAATTTTCAGAACTCAGTTTATTTTGGCAATGTCAAAGAACAAAAAAACATGAATTAACAATATATTTCAAGTATATAATAAGAAGAAAATAAGCCTATAATTAAGTATTGATTTTATCAATATATTAAAGACATGCGAATCTTAAAATATCGCGTGGTTTATGCAAAAAGTGAATAAAATAGACAATGAGATATTGTCGAAGCATATTACCAATCTTAAAAAGGAATTTATATTCAACTGCATGAAAAAAAAATATTTATAATTACTTTCAAATTTACTTTCTCTATTTCGTATATCTTCTTTAAGTTAAAGTAAAAGTTTTCTATGTTGAAAGACTATTTTCAGAAGGATCTGTTATTTGAAAGTTTCCATTTTGATGTCACCTGAACTGATAGTTTCCTGTGCCGTTCTCTAAGGGGTGGAAGTTCAGAACACCACGTGGCAACACAATATCCCTGTAATTGCCATTGTTACCGAAACTTGTTTTTTGCTTCGCTATCACTTCAGCAGTTTCTTCTCCTACCCACGTGAAAGGATTTTCCATTCTTTTACTTTGAAAGCCCTTAGCCGCCTACGCACAGGGTCGACGGAGAATCGTAGCTAAAATTTTCATCCCTTGTTTCGCTTCTGGGGGAACGTGATTCTAGGGTATCAAAGTTACGATATTACCCTTGTATTCGTCCCGAGTATATATATGAAAAATTATTTACTGTGTATTATCCCTTTCTGTTTTTGTGGAATTTATTATAATTTAAAAATAGACCTGCAGAACTATTTCACAAAAATCAGAATTACCGAAATTTTTGTTCGCAAATAACGTTCATTATAACAAAAATTTATTTGACAAGAATCTAAATCAAAAACTGTACAAAAATTGTACTAATAAAATTTATTTACTAATATTACAGGAGTCACTTACGGTGAACAAGATTCGTCGAGAATGTAGAATTCAGTTCTAAAAATAAGCTATATCGAACAACTGTCACAA